GGGCGTGGTCTGGGAGGGCGTGGTCTGGGAGGGCGTGGTCTGGGAGGGCGTGGTCTGGGAGGGCGTGGTCTGGGAGGGCGTGGTGAGAGCGGGACTCCCAGCCAACAGGGCAGCTGGGCCTGCTGGGGAACACTCACCCCGAGTCTCCCAGGATGATCACCTTGAGCAGCACTTTCTTCCTCGAGGTCATGCTTCACACTGCGGGAGGAAAGGAGAAGGAGCCATGAGCAGAGGGAGTAGGAGGAGAAGCAGGCCTGGCGCAGCCCCAGTCATGAGAATTCTGGACCCAAGAGCCCGGCTGGGGGGACAGGGTGTCCTCAACCCCCCAGGTGGCATCCTTGGTTTGCGGGACTAGTGATCCACTCTCACCGCAGAGCTCAGCCCTCCATCACTCACACCTCTGCTGAAGGGCCACTTCCTCAGACAGGCGACCCCTGCGACTCAATGGCCCAGCGCTCCCCACTTCGTCCTGGGGTCTGAACTCAGGGGCGCTTAACCTGTGAGCCCCTTTTTGTATTTTATTTAGAGTCAGGATGTCGCAGTTGCTCAGAGCCTCGCTAAGTGGCTGAGGCTGGCCTCCAGCTCGAGATCCTCCTGCCTCGGCCTCCCGATCTGCTGGGATGACAGGCGTGCGCCAGGCCCCCTCCACTAAATACTGTCATTAGCATTAAGGTCGCATCTTGCATAGGGATGATCTCAATTCTCCCCTTGCTAAGGGAGGTTTGTTAACTAATATGAATATTTTAAAGGCCCTTGAAATAGAATGACAACTTGTTTTCTCCAGAACAGCTTTTTTTTTCTTTTTTTATTTATTTTTATGAGGTGCTGAGGACGGAACCCAGGGCCTCACACGTGCGAGGCAAGCGATCGGCCACTGAATCCCGGCACCGCCTCAGAGCGGCTCGGTTCCCACCCTCTGCCATATCTGAACCCTGATCCCTGTGGGTCTAGCAGCAGTTTTACTGATGGTCTTTGCCCAATTACCTACCGAACTGTGATTTTTTTTTTTTTTTAATTTTCATTTTTAGGTACTGGGGACTGAACCCAGGGGCACTCTACCACTAAGCTACAATCCCAGCCATTTTTTATTTTGAGGCGGTGTCTCATTAAGTCTCCAAGGCTGGCCTCCAACTTTCGATCCTCCTGCCTCAGCCTCCGGAGCAGCTGGGACTACAGGAAGATAGTGGGTGCTGTGCCCAACTTAGAAGTGTAGGCTTCAAAGGTACCAACTTGAACTTGAACCAGCTCCAAACACTGAGAAATGTCTCTCTCCAGTGATACTGTGTGTGTGTGTGTGTGTGTTTTAAACTGGGAACTGAAACCAAGGGCACTTTACCACACAGCTATATCCCCAGCCCTTTTTATTTTTTGAGACCATCTACCCAGCCTGGCCTCCAACTATTGATCCTCCTGCCCCGGCCTCCCAAGTAGCTAGGATTATAGGCACTGCCACCACACCTGGCCTGCTATGTTATCCAAGACTGTGCTCTGTACCTGACCATGAAAAAAATTCAAATCACTCTGCCTTCCAAACCAGCAGACGTCAAGGCTCACAGCAAGGTAGGTAAGCAATATTGCTCATTAGGTTTTGGGAAAGGTCTTGGAGAGGCATCTGAAGTCACATACTACCATGACTCTGGTCAAGAAGTTGAAGAGCGCGTCTGGTAATAGACTGACTCTATTATTTTGGGGGTGGGGTGCGTGGGTACCGGGAACTGAACCCAGGAGCACTTACCACTGAGCCACACTTTATTTCATTTAGAGATAGGGTCTCGAAGAGTTGGTGAGGCTGGCCTCCACCTTGCAATCCTCCTGCCTCAGCCTCCTGCCCCAGAGGAGCTTAAATTGGAGCGAGCAGTCTGGTCAACAAACAACAGCTTCTAGAGAATTCAATTCCAGTGACCAAGTGGGCACAGCTACGGGGTTGTGAAGAAGCAGAAGGCTGGGGACCTCTTTCCAGAGACGACCATCAAAATGCCAAAGTGAAATCAAAAGCAACCTCAACAGGACCTACAAGCCAGGAGGGGAAGGAAGTGGGACTGGCTGCAGAACACAGCTTTGCTTGATGAGCAAAGGGAACAGAGATACAAACAGCCGGGCGCAACGGTGCATGGCCTGTCATTCCAGAGGCTTGGGAGGCTGAGGCAGGAGGATCGCAAGGTGGAGGCCAGCCTCACCAACTTAGTGAGGCTCTAAGTGACTCAGCGAGACTCTGTCTCTAAATAAAATACTTTCAAAACAGGTGACAGATGGGAGGAGCTGACCTCTGCAGGTGTCTAGTGTCTGGTAGGCCAGATGACACTGTCACGGCCCAGGGCTTGACAAACACCCCGGCCCACAATGCCACCCGAAGAAACTCCTAATGGCTTCCAACAGCAAGACCGAACCCAGGTACATGCAGTGCCTGCGAAGGAACGGTCCTCCTGGGGACTGTCAACAATCCTCGGCTGTGACATTTTACTTGCTGTTAATCCCTGACAAGCTTCAGAGAAGGCGCGGTGGGAACTGTCAGGGGACTGGAAAGAGGGGGGGACCGTGGGGGGTGTCCACCGAGCAGCTGGGGACCAGGGGCTGGGCGGAGTTCCCTGGGGCCTGGCCAAGGAGACAGCTGGGAAGCGGCGCAGGCCCCAGGACGTGGGGCCACCCAAGCCAGGGCCTAGGCGGGTGCAGGAGAGCAGCCACCTGGCAGGGGACAGTCTGGCTTTGCAAGTTTCCTTCAGAAGATGCTGCGATCCAGCGCCAAATGCCTGCTCCAGGTGAGGGTCCTGCTCCTCTGGCTGTCCCCACAGCGCCATGACCTCAGGCTCCCCCGGGAGTCCCCATGTCCAGGCACCCCGAGGCCTGTCTTCCTGGACACCACTCCCCATGTGGCTGCCCTGTTGAGGGCCGTCCCCTAGGCCCACCTGAGGTGGAGGGACGCTGGATTCTCTGATTCAAATAAAGATTCTTAAGTTGGGCGCGGGCGCATGCGCGTTATCCCAGCGCTCGGAAGGCTGAGGCAGGAGGGTCGCCCGCGGGTCTGTGGACAGCGTCTGTCTGTCTGTCAGGCCTGGGCGCCGGACCTGGGCTTTGCACCTGTCACACCAACTGGGGGGCTCTGTCCCCAGCCTGTTCTATTTGGATTTGAGACAGGATCTCCCCCAGTGGCCCAGGGGAGCCCCAAATTCGCCATCCTCCTGCCTCAGCTTCCTCAGTAGCTGGGATGACAGGCGTGAGTCACTGTGCCCGGTGGACCACGTGGCTGAAAGCCAGTCCTATTTCAAAATATTGTTAGGACCTTGGGCAAACATTCCTCAGCTCTCACACCAAGAGCACAAGCCCTAAATAGGGCTGCCAAACTGGATGCCACCAGAACTAAGAACTTCTGCTCTTTTTGGGGGGTGGGTGGGTGGAGGTACTGGGAACTGAACCCAGGGGCACTTCATCACTCCAGCCCCATGTTAATATTTTCTTTAGAGACAGGGTCTCGTTGAGTTGCTCAGGGCTAAGTGGCTGAGGCTGGCCTCCACCTTGCGATCCTCCTGCCTCAGCCTCCCGAGCTGCTGGGAGGACAGGTGTGCGCCACGGCGCCCGGCTCCCCTGAGGTTTTAGTTGGTCCCAGTCCTAATCCTCTGGGCTGCTGCGATGACCCCTCAGGCTGGGCAGGTGTCATACAGACTGGCTGCTCACAGTTCCGGAGGCACAGAAGTCAAAGATCAAGGTGCTAACGAGTGTGGCACATGGTGAGTGTCACCCGTCACGGACGGACGGTGCCTTCTAGGTGTCCCATGTGGCAGAAGGGGTCGAGTGGCTTCCTTTGATCCTTCCCTGAGGGCACGAATCCCACTTCTGACCCCATTTTCTAAAAGACCCCACCTTAATACTGACCACGGGTCCTAGGTTCCAACCAATCACACCACAGGGGACCCTCTACCTAGACAGGAACAAGGGCAAAGCCACGTCACCCTGGTCTGCTCCATCGGACACAGGTGACTCTGTGCCACCAACCCTTCTGCTGGACGGCAAGCCAGGACAGTGCGCGACGCTGGGTCGCAACGACAACGTCAGACAGCCCAAGAGGTCCTGTGTGGATACTGCTGGGAGCACAGGACGGGCCCCTAGCACACATGGCGGGAGGGACAGGGCCACACGGGCCATGCTCGACCCCTCTGGCTTCCTGATTTTAAAATTACCTCCCAAGAACATCTGGAAATCAAAAGCCAAGAGCTGCCCGGGATTTCCCAGGAGATCCAAGACGACTCGGCACCACTGAGGCAGAAACTCGTCCTTTTTCTTGGGTAGGGGACACAAATTCGGATGAACAAGACTATTTCATGAAAGATGGTACTCAGTGGGCACAGTGGCCCACGCCTGTCATCCCAGCTGCTCCGGAGGCTGAGGCAGGAGGATCACAAATCGAAGGCCAGCCTCAGAAACTTAGTGAGATTCTGTCTCAAAATTTTAAAAAGGGGGCTATGGATGGGGCTGGGTGTGTGTGTGACATGCACAAGGACCTGGGCCCAATCTCTAGTACAGGAAGAAATTACTGTCCCCAGCCCTGCAGACACTCCCCCCACTACCCCCCCCAAAAAACCCACCAAATCAACTAACCACTTTTAAAACTAGGCAAGTGTTCTGCATCGCTCAGCCCCACATCCTCTTTCCTGATGCGGGGTCTAAGGGCCAATGCTGGCTGCCCTTGAACTTAATGATCCTCGAGCCTCAGCCTCCAGAGTAGCTGGCATTGAAGGCTGTGCCCAGTCTTCAGGGAGAGACTGAACTCAGGGGGAATTTTTTTTTGGGGGGGGTCAAACTCAGGGACACTCAATCCTTGAGCCCCATCCCCAGCCCTATTTGGTATTTTATTTAGAGACAGGGTCTCCCAGAGTTGTTTAGGGCCTCGCCATTGCAGAGGCTGGCCTCCAACTTGCGAGCCTCCTGCCTCAGCCTCCAGAGCCTCTGGGATGACAGGTGGGCACCACTGCGACAGGCCCAAGCAATCCTTTTTTGTTTCAGTGCCGCCAGGAGTTTTGAATTTATTAGCATAAAGTTATAAAAAGCACCCTTCGTGAGGATCTCTGTGATGCGCTGCGGTAGACCTTATATAACTTGCAGGGGGAAGACATCCAAGCCACCCTTCCCACAATACAATTTTGCTGCACTGAATACCACCAAGTTCATTTTTATTTTACAACAGATGAAAAAAAAAAAAGCAGCAC